CACACACCTGAGACACATGGGGACAGAGACGCACACACACCTGAGACGCACACCTGAGACGCACACCTGAGACGCACACCTGAGACGCACACCTGAGACGCACACCTGAGACGCACACCTGAGACGCACACCTGAGACACACACCTGAGACACATAGGGACAGAGACACAAAGACACTTTCATACTGTTTGGACCAGACTGACAGAGAGAACCTTCCTCCTCCAGGTTCCACTCCTTCCTTCTGTTCCTGGGTCAGCCGTCGTCCTCGGTGAGGGACATCAGAGTGACCAGTTTCTGTCGGATCATCAGTGAGTTCTCTCTGGAGTACCGGACCACCAGAGAACGGGTCCTGACCCTCAAACAGAAACGAGCCGCTCACAGAGAGAGGACCAAGACCAGGGGCAAGATGATCACCGAGGTAATGAGGACAAAGCAGAGGACGGACCACGTGATCCTGGATCGGGACCACGTGATCCTGGATCGGGACCACGTGATCCTGGATCGGGACCACGTGATCCTGGATCGGGTTCTGTCTCTATTGTGATGTTAAAAACATGTATTAATCATTAGTAATCCCTTTATTCTTCCTCCTCCTCTTCTCTTCCTCCTCTTTTTCGTCCTCCTCTTCCTCTCAGACTGAGAAGTTTTCGGGGGCAGTGCCTCAGGAGGATGACTCCTCCCCCATCTCCCCAGAGGCGGAGCCTGGTCAGGAGGAGCATGAGAACATGAAGAACCTGCTGATCAGCACCGACAGTCTGACTGTGGACCAGAGAGGCCTGAGACGCTCCAGAGCCGTCCGCAGTAAGTCTAGTTCCTCCTCCAGGACTCTGGACCAGGACCTCAACACTGTCCTCCTTGTCCTCCTCATGTCGTCTTCATGGTTCTGTGGGATATGGTTCTGATTCTGTCTCTGATCCTGGTCCTCAGGTCTCGGCAGTTTGAGTCCGTCCCAGATGTTCGTAGCCAGAGAAGACGGGACTGTCTCCCAGGATGATGCCACGGACGAGATAATGGACCGACTGGTCAAGTCCGTGACCCAGAACCCCTCAGACAGACCGTCCAGTCCCAAGACCCGCAAGCGGTCCCGCATGAACAGGAAGTCATGTGAGTATGCATCCCGATGTGGATCTCATTCGGAATCAGACTCCGAGTCTGAATGTTAAGAAAGTGTTCGATACAAAAGACAAGAAAAGATTATTTTTTTGGCTCTTTTTTTTTTTTAAGAAGACCTGGACTTGAGATGCTCCCTCCCCACCCCTTGCAGGTCTGATCCAGAACCAGCATGAGTCTCTGTCCCCTCAGCCGGTTTTGTCTGGTTCAGACTCTCTGTGTCCATAACAGACAGACTCATATCTCTGTTTTCACTTCCTCAATAAATCCTCTGTGAGCAGATATACATCAGTCTGAACCCAGACCTGGTCCAGATAGATCCTATAGAGACCTGGAGTAAAGGATCATGTATTCTACATATAAACATGATATTTAATAATAATAATAATATGTGTGTGTGTTTCAGTGAGGAGGACTCTGAAGAGCGGGCTCAGTCTGGACGTGGTTCAGGCTCTGGGACTCAACAGCAAGATGGCAGACCGGGTCTGATCCCAGACCAGCTGAGAGACACGAGGACGGGTCTCCTTCAGGAGGACGATCAGTGTTTAACTTTAGTGACGTCATGAGTTTATTAATATTAATGTCGACATGTTTCAGACAAACTAAAGAGACGTTCAGCTCTGAGACGACACAAACGAACATGTCCATTTAGTTCCTCTTCTTTTGATCAAACCCCACATGATCTTCTTCTGCAGTTTTAAATGTGTTCAAACTCTTCTCACCTAATGCTCACAGTGAGGTCACACACATGCGCACACACACACACGCGCGCACCCTCACACACACACACACACACGCGCACACTCACACACACACACACGGGTGCACACACACACACGCGCGCACACTCACACACACGCACGCACGCGCGCACACTCTCACACGCGCGCGCGCGCGCACACTCTCACACACACACACACACGCGCGCACACTCTCTCACACGCGCGCGCACACGTGCGCACACTCGCTCACACACACACACGGGCACACTCACACCCACGCACGGGGGGGGTGTGATGTTCACAAACACAAATTAGTTATTTCTCTACAGTTCACTTTGAGGTGTTGTTGTTTCCTCTTCTGCTGACTTCAGGTTTTAAGTTAACGAGATGAACATTTTACTTTATAGATTGTTTTATTAATAAAGTTTTGAATAAACAGCGACAGAGTTTTCATTTATTTATGAAGTTTTAAGACTTCAGTGTCTCAGAATTCAATCAATCTTTATTAGTCTGAACAAGATGTTACAAAGTAAAAGATGTTTTGAATAAAACTTCTGAAAACTTGATGAAAGCCTTTATTTGTGTAGTTTGTAGTTATAGTAATTAATAAAACAAAATTATAATCTGACATCACAGCTTGAAAAACAGGATAAAGACAAAAGTGAATTTCATGTAATTATTATTAAATGATGTACAATAAATAAGATGAACATCATGTTAAATAATAAAATAAATACACAACTATAAATATGAATAAGACATGAAACATACCATCATATAAGAAATGCATAATATAAATAAAACTACATTTCTTTGACACTTTATTTTGTGATTATTGATTTTGATATATTTATTAAACATTTGGATTTTAAAAGTTCTAAGTTTTGTTTGAGAAATGTATAGAATATTTATAAAACAGATCCTAAATACTGAAATATTAATATTTATATTATTACGACATGATTATGATTAAAAATAATATTATGGTGACAATTGTTTTAATTTTTGTTATTTAGAAGTAGAAGTAGTATATCAGTAGTAGTAGTATAGTGATGGTAGTATTACTACAGTAGTATTAGTATAGTGATAGTAGTATTACTACAGTAGTCTTAGTATAATAATAGTATTACTACAGTAGTATTGGTATAGTGATAGTATTAGTATAATGATAGTATTACTACAGTAGTATT